GACTCAAAACCCATGCAAAGCTTCCAGAAAGCAGTTCAGAACAAACCTATGACCAACAAAAGGCATAATACAAAGATGACAGGTAGTCCTAGGATCATTTTTTCAGGGTAGGTGAAGAAGGTGTGAAGTTTCGGTGCATGATACAAAAGCCACTGAAAAAGTTATTTTAGGGGCAACACCACTTATTGCTTGCTAGAAGTAACAGTGTCCTGTTAAAAACTGGGAAACTAGAGAGAAAAAATAATCTCATTTTATTTGTGGGTTTTTGTTTTGTTTTGTTGCTGTTAATTAGGGCATTTATGCAACAGGGCATCAAAAAAGTTCATTTGGTGCCTTTGAAAAACATCTGGAGCCAGCATACAAAGCTTGCAGTTCTGATTCTCATCTTGCATTAATCAGGTGTAAAACCAGCCTAATTGAAAGGAGAGGAGTGACGAATCACCATCTGGATGTAGCTACGTAAATGACATTCTTACCACCTTTCTCAAAGAAATTATGGGATTCCAGAAGTTTGTGTTTGAACTTGAGGTCCCTGATCCTCAGCCACCCACAGCATGGCTGGGACACAATGCAAGGCCCTTCCAGCCTCTGTGGCCAGTCTTCCTTCCCATCAGAGGTAGGGAGATGGAAGCCGTGTCCATCAGATGAGTTCTGCTACAGAGTTGGACAAGACCAAGACACGTGCTTGGACCTGCAAACACAGAAAAATCCCTAAATACTGTATTCTTCATACATATTTTACATGTTGATGTATGACCAAAGCCCTCACCATTGAAAATGTAAGCCTATTTAGAAAACAGAGTATGAGTTCCTATGAGCATTTGCAGAGAGGGAGTTCTTTTAGAGATCTTGAAATTTTTCAAATTATATTTCCATGCTGTACTAAATGAAAGCATTTTGTTACATACTGCTAAGAAAAGAATAGAGAACAAAATATGCAGCATTGTCTCTCACCATGGAAATCTAGTTTTTAACCATATCTGGATATCGTATGCTTATCTGGTCTCCCCTGAGACAGAAGGAACATACTAGATCTAGGAAAGCAATATACGGACAACAAGGTATGAAAACACCAGTAGAGATTAAATAGGCTAGGATCCTTGGCTGCGAAAGAGAAACTTTACAGGGAAATATATGAAAGCAGAATAATGAATGACACAAAGTGAATGGGGACCAATCATTTCTCTTCTTTACAGCATAAGGACTCAGGGACATTGAAGAAAACTTCCCAGTGGATGTTTTATAAAAGAAAAAAAAAAAATTTTTCCACACAGTATATCTAAAGTGTGAAACTTACTGTCACAAGGTGTTGTAGACGAATATAAAGAGATCCAACAGTGATTAGATCAGTTCTTGTAAGAAACATTCGTTGAGAGCTATCAGTCACAAAACTGTAAATATAACCTCCTACCCAAGAAGTCCCTAAACCATAGCTTGCTGGAAGATGTAAGGGTATTCCAGAGGATTACCATGCACATATCCAGACTTTGTGTAACTCTCCTAAACAGCTGCTCTTTATTTTGATGGAGACCTTTCCCTCTCCGTGCACAGTACAGCCAGTCAAGGGTTCTTAGGTTTTTTTAGGCAAGCAGCTCAAGAAGAAACTGTTCTACAGACAGTGCTTAAGGACCATAAGAATTTAAATTTTACTAGACAGTGTGACACATGCTAGGGGAACTCTTTGTTCTGTCACAGTGATTCACTAATATTTTCAAAAGCTCAGGATGCAAAAAGCACTTGAGGTTTTTTTATTCCACTTCAGATTTAGACTGTTGCTAGTTTGTTCACAGGTGGAGGAAATATATGAGAAACAAGCTGCAAATTGAGAGTAGTTGTGCTGGGTTTGTGCATGACAGGTTTTTGGTAGCGGGGGAGGGGGCTGCAGAGATGCCCCCTGTAAGAAGCTTCTTAAAGGTCCCCCACCTCCAAATCAGACCTGCCTCTGGCCAAGCCCAAGCCCAAGCCCATTAGTGATGCTGGCTGTACCTCTGTGGTAACATATTTAAGAAGGGGAATCAGAGAGGAGGAGTATAAGTTGTGAGGAAATTACCTATGCAAACACCAAGGTCAGTGGAAGAAAAGAGGATATGGGGAGGTGTGTTGGAGCAGAGACACCCCCCCCTGCAGCCCATGGTGGGAGGTCAGGCTGTGCCCCTGCAGCCCATGGAGGTCCACGGTGGAGCAGATGCCCACCTGCAGCCCATGGAGGACCCCACACTGGAGCAGGTGGCTGTACCCAAAGAAGCCTGGGACTCTGAGGGAAGCCCGTGCTGGGGCAGTCTGTTGCTGGGAGAACTGCAGCCCACAGCAGGGACCCACGCAGGAGCAGTTCGTGAGGAGCTGCAGCCTATGGGAAAGACTTATGTTGGAGTTGTTCATGGAGGACTGTCTCCTGCGACAGGGACCCTATGCTGGAGCTGGGAAAGAGTGTGAGGAGTCCTCCCCCTGAGGAGGAAGGAGCATCAAGAACCTGTGATGAACAGATTGCAATCCCCATTCCCTGTCCCTGCACCACTTGGGGGAAGGAAGTAGAGAAATCAGGAGCAAAGGTGAGCCTGGGATGAAGGGAGGGTTTGGTTGAAGGTGGTTTTAAGATTTGGTTTTATTTCTCAGTTTGATTGCAAAATTGAGTGGTGGTGGTGGTGTTCAAATTAATTTGATGTTCTTTTTCTTCCCCAATTAAGTCTGTCTTTTGCCCATAACCATAATTGATGAGTCATCCCCCCTGTCCCCATCTGTATCCCCGAGCCTTTTGTTTTATTTTTTCCTTCCTGTTCCTGGTGGGGAAGGATTGAGCAAGCAGCTGTGTGATGGTCTGTTGCCCTCTGGGCTCAAACCACAACAGTAATGTAACAAATAACTGGATGACAAAGAACAGAAAAGTTAGGGAAAAAGAAACTATACATCCTCACATACATTTCACTTGTTGATATCATTTGTGGTTGTACTCTATATTTGGGAGTAAACTCATTCACATGTAGGCATTATGTAAGTATAGACAGACACATACATACCTCAGATTCTCCCTTTCTGTCCTGTATGAAGAACAAGCTGGATCCGAGATGCACACAGCTCTGGCTGTAATACATTACAAGATTAGAAAAGGAGGGAGAGCATCTCATGTGGACATAACCTAGCGCAGAGACTTATGCAGGCAGCTCCACCACAGCCTGCATGACTCTCCATCCCTAATGTGGGGATCCCCATTTCCACATCCATGTTACCATATCTTATTCACCCACCCTCTACTTAACAGCAAGGGCAGAGTGCATGCAAACCAACACAGATGTAGACTGAGACCATCCATTGCAATCCCTGAACACAGCAGTGGTCAGCACGAGCTGGTCTTCTCTGCAAGAAGCTGACAACAGAAGAAGGATTTACTGCAAGAGACACAAGACAATCCCTAACAAAGCTTTGTGACTTCAGAGACCAGACTCTGTGAGGGAGTTGGTTGCTTCTCCACAGAAGTATAAACCTTTTCTGCCTTCTTAAAGTTTGTGTCTGCAGGAAATTCCTGTGGTTTGCACAGGATTCCAAAATGCAATTAAAGTCTTCAGACAGCTGCTCAGATAAGGTTTTCTAATGGGAAAAGCCTAAGTAGTGGGAATGTGCAACACGTTCTCAAAAGGGAGTTGCAGGGTTGCACAGAATTTGCAGGCCTGTAGGTTGCAGAGCTGAAAACAATCATCCCTCCCAGCCCAGACCCAGAGGCAGTAGTACTTGGTAGTTAAGAGTCCTTTGTGACAGTCTTGTGCCCATTTGGGAAGCAGGGTCATAAAGCCCAGTATCATCAATAACCTTTTTGCTCCATACAGTTATGACCGTTTTGTGTTAACGATGCTAAGGCTCTTGGAGGTATTTCCAGGTACTATATTGTAGCCTTGGCCTGGAGAAAAGATTGAGATGTTCCTAATGTAAGTATAGGAGCATGATGGGTATGGGATTAACCAGGCAATGCCATCATTTGTAAAAGCCAACCTTCTGCTTCAATCTACTAAAGCTAGAAAATCTTAGAGCAACGTATAAAGTACTTCAGTGTAATCTGGAAACATGCAATTTACCTACCATCAACCAACCTTTGCATTATTATAGACTAAGAATCTAGTCTTTTGCTTCACTAGATGAAGATCTGGCGCAGCTAGAAATGTTGGTGGATTGTTGTTTGTTTGTTTGTTTTTTAAATATTCTCCCTGCTCCTATTAATGTACTTAACATGCAGATGAGTTTACAGAAGTTGACCCCACCTGCAACAGGAGTGAGTTCAGAATAATTTCTTATTAAAAACTTGAAAATAATGACATACAAGTAGAAGCAGCAAAGTGTTGGGTCATCAAAGCAGAACTGAGCAATAGAAGGTGGGTTTGGAGCTCTGGGACAGAAAAAAGTGTGATGTGAGCTTCTTTCAAACGACCGATACCAAACCATAAATGACTGTCAGTGTAAGCAAGAGTAATATCCTTGGCTGTGGGGACATGGTGCAATGACAGCCTAGCAGCTAATTTTTTTCATGACTGTCCTATGACAACATACTTACACAGTATTTGCTTGTCCCAATTTATCAGAATGCTTAGTGTTTTCCAAGCTCTGGTAGAAGTAAAAACATGCTAAATGTTGCTTTTATTCTGCAGCTAAACAGGAGAAAGAAACAGATTAAAACACCTCATGGCTTCAGGGACGTCTATTTTATATTCATTCCTATAGTGTAATTTTTTTAAGGAACTGTTCTAGCCTTTTCTTGAAAATACTTCCATTTCACCCTCAAACTGTTTTAGCTTCCCACCTGCAAAGCTTATAATGAGGATATGATGCTGACACCTAGAGGAACATGGGTATGAATGTAAATACATTTTATTAGTCTCTAACTCTCTTTCAGAATGTGTTTCTTAATAAGACATCTGCTTAAAGTGAGACATGAAAGCCTGTAATGCAGTATTCCCTCTGTGAATAATCTATAAGGTTAGCACACACATTACAATGAATAACCAATAATAGTGGGTTTTCCAGCAATCCACTTTAATAGTTTCTTCATATGTCTGTGTTTATACATCAAATAAACTTCCAACAAAAAAGTAATGTACAATTCAAGAAAATACCCAAAGTTATTACAGTTTGACTTCCTCTTTGTTGATTTACAGTTATGTACAAGACTGTCTTATCTGCAATACCCAGTGAAGATTTAATTATTTATTTACAAATCAGCTGGTGCCTTTCACTATGAAATTGAACTGTCTACTTTTGCTATTTACATCCATAGCAGCAAGAACCCACTCTTAGGTGTCATTTATGGATAGGGTTAAGAGGTGGACTGAAACAAGGCAAGATTCTCACTATCAACCACAAACATACCTCTGAAACTGCCTTTCCAGATATAGCTGAAGGAAGATACTAGCACTTAGTGTGCTGACATAACTATTGTATTTACAGTCCACATAATAAGGTGTGTCCACTGAGAATAACATGTTAGAGGGAGATATGTGCAAGCTGGAGGCAGTATATATTTTAAGGTGCAGCAGACAAACTTTATTACTCTAGTGCTAAAGATGCACCCTATTTACCCTGCCAGAGACATCCAAAGCAAATGAAGACACAAAGCAGGCTATATTTCTGAATGTGAGGAGGAACATCTTTTACAACTCTTCTTACACAAGAGATTAAATTAGGAGAGAAAAAAAAATCTATAATTTTATCATGTTTTATCACGCAATCTGTTTCATAGAATCACAGAATAATTTGTGTTGCAAGGGACCTGTGGAGGTCATCTATTCCTAATCATTCAAAGCAGGGCCAACTTCAAATTTAGAATCAGCTCTCAACTTAGAGCAGACTGTTCAATGCTATGTCCAGTCAAGTTCTGAATATCTTCAAGGATAGAGATTGCACAACCACTGGACACCTGTTCCCATGTTTGACCACCCCTGTATTGAAAAATTTTCAGAACACCTGATCAGAACTTCCACATTGAAGGTATAACCTAAGGCCCACTGAATCAAGTCCTTCTATTGACAGCAACAGTTTTAGAGCATCCCTAAAGCATGACACAAGGGTTATGCTTTCAGCTTTTCAGACATTATATGACTATCTAGAGATCATGTACCCTTTACTTCCCTATTCCTGATGAATAAAGAAAACAGACAAGCAGAATCAGATCAGTGTTCATATTCAGCCTTAAAATCCACCTACAGTACATCCTACTCCACAGTGGCAAGAACACATACAGTCAAATATGACAAAGTACTGTATCTAACCTGGAAAATCTCATGATAACACTGTCTTCTTACATAATACACATTTTATGACAGTAACAGTCATGACTGGAATACAAGACTGTTGATATGTGCATATATATTGGTCATAACTGTTGAGCGAGGTATGTGAACCCTGATAACTGGGGCTACTTCTCTGGTTTTATGTCTTCAGAATGAAAGAGCAAAAAACCTGTTAATTCTGAGCATCAAAATAAACCATGCTGTATCTAGAGAGACAAAGAATATCAAGAGAAATACACACTGAGAGGCTGATGAGCTAATTTGCATGGCAGGTCACACTCGTTGCATTTAGTAGAAAGAAAAATAAGTCTTTCCCTGTATAATCCTCTTATAAGGTCCAGTCTTCAGTAGGGCAAATGATGTTCAAAATGTTCTTTCTCCCCATATTACAGATACACTGAGTAGCTCCTACCACCAGTGTGAGAGAGATGCGTGCACGGAAAGAAAGGTAAAATCAGATATTAAAAAAATGTTTTCTGATTGCCACAGAAATCATGACAGCCAGATAGAGAAAGATGTTCCATAAGCACTTCAGCAGAATTACAAAATGCGGCAAGATGTTGCATTTACATTCTCTTCCCTGGTTTGGTTTGGTTTTGTTTTCTTAATACTTGTTTGATAACCCACAGAGCATTCTCAGGCTATAGCAACAAATTATCTCTTTGAAGGTCTTCCTCATTTCCTGGCTACGAAAGGCATAGATCAAGGGATCAATCACTGAGTTGCACATAATAAGAATGAGGTACATGTTGAAGTGAGACATGAAGCAAACACAGTAGAGGTTTTGAGGGCAGGAGATCATCAGGATGAGATGAAGGAAGAATGGAGCCCAGCAAACAATGAAGATGCCAAGAAGCATGGTCAGAGTGATGGCTCCTTTCATGCTGGTTCTTTGATGGACAGAGTTGTATCCAGGCAAAGCAGCTATTTTCTTCACATGAGTACGAGCCAGGAGGAACATATGGATGTACAGTGAGACCATGAGGAACAGCATGGTAAAAAACATAGTGATAAGACAAATGATCACGTAAGTTGATTCATAATAAAGAATGAAGATGATGCCACAGCCTGTGCAAAAGGTCCAAATGCATGCAATAATAAGCCCTGATCTTTTCACTGTCATGATGTTGTGATAACGCAGGGCATAGAAGATAGTGATATATCTGTCTACTGCGATAGCCAGCAAACTGCACATGGAAGCCACCACAGATATGCAGATCATTGAATCAAAGACATTGTCTATATGACGGACAAAGGCATCTTCCATAATTATGTGTCTATTGTTTATTAAGTATATCGTTATGGTCTCCCAAGCATTAGACACACTAACCAGCATGTCAGCCACTGCTAAACTGCAAACAAAAAAATACATGGGTGAATGCAAGTTTTTGTTCTTAACTATTGCACATATAACTAAAATATTTTCAAGGAGGCTAACAATGCCCAGAGTTAGGAACACCTCAGCCGCAATGACTACTTGTTCACATGGTGATGACTTGCTCTTGACAGTAGGCACAGTAAAGTTGATACTAAAGGCACTCAGGTTTAGTTCAGAAACATACAGTTGAGAGGACATGTTCATCTCTGGAAGTAAACACGTTCTGTTCTTTCTGAGGGAGTTGCCAAGCAGGGCGATAAATGCATTTTCCAAAAGGCAAAAGACCCTGCCAAAAAAAATATAGCATGACGAGAACAGGCAGAAGTTGACAAAACAAATATTTCCCATTTCTATTTAATTTGGCTTGTACACATCCTGCCTTTTCTACACCATATTCTTCTACTGATTCTAAATTAACCTCCGATTGACTCAGAGTTTTTCTATCCATCCTTACTGGGACATTAAAACCACAGACTAACAAAGAAATTTATGCACTCTTCCTTCATAGTTTTGTTTATTCTATTCAGTCCCCTAGAAGTGAGCACAATGTTCTGGAAATTCTGCTAAACACCAAACAACAGTTTTCAAAGTCTTAATTCTCAGACCCCATAAATGCAGGAGAATATACTATTAGGTTCAGCAGAACATGCTCACTTGAATACAATATATAGAAGTTTGAATTATTGCCACAGTTAAGAATTGAACATTTTCAGTAAAAGATTTAAATGCTTTCCTACCCTTACTTCTTAAATTCACATTAACTGTGTTATAAGCAGCTTATCTGTGCAATACTAACATGCTCACTTAAGAGCATGCTATCAAACACTAAGGCAAATCCATACATTTCAGGATACACTAAGGTTACAGAATTGCTATAGGTGGAACTCTGTCATAAAAATAAGATTTCTATTCCAGATCATGAGTATTTTCTTCAATGCTCTTTTGGTAATGACAATATTCAGGGCAAGTTGTAAGCCATCAGATTCTTAATAAGGGGAACATTTAAACTGTTTGTCAGTGACTTGTTGCAAATAAAATTCAAAGCATATCAAGCTAAATCGCTTTCAGTTTTAAAAGTAACCTTTTCTTTGCAATCAAGAATTAACTGTACCTATTTACCAGAGCTGCTCCTTCAGCTGCACTTCCTCTTCATCGCCTAGAACCTTTTTCTCCAGAGTGCAGAAGTTTCAGCCCCCCTCCTCTCCGGACATCTGGGTCTGGGGACTCCTTGGTAGGAACAGGTGACAACAATAGAGGTAAAGGAATGAGTAAATCCATAGAGTCAAGGCTGACAATGTATAAATTACTTACTGTGCAACTGCCTTTTTATAGACTCCAGGCAATAATGACTTCAGTACTCAAACTGTGGCTCCTCCCCCCCTTCTTCGCCCCTCTGAACTTCTTTTCACAGATTCTTTTAGCAAAGGCTTGGGTTTTTAGCACCATCTCGTGGTCTTCTCTCGTCTTTCTAACTGAACAGTGACTGATCTAAAATTCATTATTAGCTTTTTATATCAAAGGAGAAAATGCACTAGGCATGCTCCCTTCCAAAAATATTTTTTTGTTTGTTTTCCCTATTGTTCCTAGTAATCACTGACAATAAGTTCATGCTACAATAGTTCTTTGCTATGCTCCAAAGACATGAGAGCAGAAGACTGTTACTGAAGTGGGAGGCTTATTACTGTTATAAACATTTTTCTTACAGTCACAGTTATAATTTTACAAGAACAAGAACCATGCTGTTATAAAACTCAGAGAATGTAGAGTCAAGGCTGTCACACCACTAATAAAAGGTATAACTCAAGTAATCTGTGTTAAAAAAATAGAACAAATAAATAGTTGTGCTCCAGTCCCCTTGCTAAAACAGAGATTTTGATGCAGACGTGGAAGGAGTACACAGTGCATCATGCTGGGAGCCATCCTGAGATGGATGTGAATCCCCCCAGGTTTCACAAGGTCTAAGAGCTCGTAAAGTTAATGCTCTGTATTTCAGTGGCTGAAGTCTCTCTGTGGGTCTAGCAGTCAGGCAGGTGATGCTCATTCTGGGCCTTACCCAAAAGGTGGCAAAATCAGTGAGAGTCTTTTCTTCAGCAAATGGTCTCTGCTTCTGCCCGCAGATTGTGGAACATAAAGCACACGCCTTCCTGACACTGCCAAATGCCCTTTACGTTATCTGCTAACCAGTCAGTCAAAACCATGCAGGATTTGAAGTTAACCTGAGATAAAGTCTCTGCTTTTCTAAAACACCACCTTTCCCCAGATTAGGGGGTTGGGGTTTTTCCAGTTGTATACAGCTTCAAATGATTTCTTTTAACCTACAACATTTTTCTTAAAGAACTGCCACCAACAAACACAAGCTTAATTGCTGCATCCTGTGCCATTTTTGTGTTTTCATCATTCAGATAGAGTTTATCATTATAATGCAGTGAAATCCATATTTCTATTATATTCCACAGAAGCTTCCTCTATTGTTATTACTAGCTTCACCCTAGGGATGCTGATAGACATGGGCCACAGTATAAAATGTTCTTATGCACAAATAGTCCCTGCACCAAAGGAGACAGTGAAAAGTATTTTTATTCGAGTAAAATGGCATGGCTCCTCTAGCATTATGCCGTTAATCTGGAGATTAACTTTGCATCTCCGTTTTCCCCACTATCAGAGAGAGAATTTAGATTATCGCAAACTAGAGGTAGCAAATTATGCTCAAGTGGAGCTGTTAGATCTGAGCAGATAAAGCCAGCTAGTGAAGAGCAACACTCCCCGCTGTATCTCACCTGTGTGCCAAATCTGAGCTAACAGTTCTTTGCTATCCCCAAAAGAAAAGAATAGAGGAAGCCAACCTGCAGTTCTCTTTCTGTTCTTTAATGTAAAGCATGTTTTAGTTCTCCTAGGCTATCCTTAGTTATCTTACCTTAGCTATCTTTGGTTATGTTTTGCATAGTTTTTGATTTTTCCCATTATAGACTCTAGAAATCATATACCTAAAAGTAAAAATCTTACTTCTTTCACTGTTCCTATATCTAGAAAGAACTGTGCAGACCTTGTGCTCTTTCCACTTCCAATTATTTCTCTTTCAGTATCCTATGTTTTTTCTTCTTATACTCTCTTTCTAAATTCTGTTCGTCTTCCCATTTACAAATTCCTCTGTATGTTCAGTTTAATAAAGTTCTTTGCAGTTCAATTTAGCTGCCTTTACAAAAGTTCTCACTGTACCTGGTGGGACTCAGTAGACCAGCTGATTACAAGAAATAAATCACACATCAGACTGGATGGCTTGGCTGTTATTCCTTAGAGCAATAGCAGGTCTCCTGCATATAAATTATGGATCAGCCTTTGCATTCTTCTTCCACAAGCCAGATACTGCATGCACAAACCCTGCTACAAGCATCTATGCTAGACAAAGAAACTCCTTTATTTACAAAGCTTGAGAAAAATTACCTGCCTGGAAACTGGGTTAGTGATACAGAGGTAGTTTGTTTATGTTAGAGACAAAATGTAAAAATATTTTTTTCTTTTCTAAAATAAATAAATAAATAGATAAATAAATATATATTGTTGCAGCAAGCAACTATAAGCATTATAGTTTGACAAGTAACTGAAGGGACACCCAGTTAGCAGTGGGTAGAGGCATGCAGGTGAATTATAAGGATTGTAAGTAAAGGGGAATGGGAGCAGATCTTTGGATTCTCTTGGGAAGGATCCAAGAGTGGCTTCACCTTCCAGGTAGAGGACTCCTGACTGAATAGGCTGGTCTTTCAGATGCTCATGATCTTGGTGTTTGGTTCCCTTGTTTGTTCAGTTAAATAAATTCTCTGACTCTACAGACAGGCTGGTGCTTGGTGTTTTCCAAGGCCTCAAAGACCATGTCTGAATTGCCACTGTGGGCAAACAGTACTTCATGCATTGCAAAGTCTGCGCTGGTATTGAGCTATTGGGCTGTACCAACACAGCACAGGACCTGACCTCTTGAGTGCACACCGAAGCCCTTGTCTGTCCTCAAACCACCATTTTCTTTCCACAGATGAAAAGAGAAGAGGAAAAGATATTGGGTTGGGGCACTTGGGGTGTTTATTGCACAGGTCTCCCTGTAGCATAGAAACAATCACAGCTGGGTCATACACCAAGAAGCCTGGATCTGGAGTTCTTGGGAGTTCTCCTAAGGTCCATGGTCATTCTCAAAGGGATGCTAAAATGTATCTTTAGGAAGCTGTGTTTTGTTCTGTACTTCATGTAACATCTTCTCTGGTGTAAGAAAAATGTTAACTGCTTAAAGTCCTTATTCCACTGAACTCACTAAGAGTTTGCTTTGGGCTCCAGGAAAAAGAGATCTTAAGTGCCCCAGAAAGACATCAGTGAACATAAGCAAGAAGTAAAATACCATTCCAGCAGAAAAAGAGACATCAGTGCCCGTTTTGGTACCATGCCATTTCTTTCCATTGCAAAATGGTGAGAGCAAGCAGAAAGCTGCTCCAACTACAAATCCGCCTCACAAGCTTCATCAGCGACCAGAGTGGGAGCTGTGACAGCATCCCTGACAGAAACACGCAGCCCCTGCCTGCCACCAGCACGACCAGCGATCACACCAAACCCTCCCTTTGCCCAGCATGTCTGCTGGGACAGGAGAGGCTGTGACTACCCTGACCCATAGGGCAAATTACAGCATGTCAAAACCAGCAGGGAATTGCATGTCGCCTTCATTGACATCAGGATACTGATTTTATCAATGAACGCATAAATGATGCCAACAGTACAATGTGCCCCTGGACTGGAAGCCCAGAGAGTAGCAACGGTTGTGATCCCTCAGGTTAAATTAAGGTGAAACAACACCAAATGACAGGTTAAAATGTTTTACTTGAGGTAGAAAATAGTTTAAACTTGGGAAAGAACAATAAACAATGTGGTGTCTTAGAAATCTATACTAAAGAAAAGTAAAAAGAAGGAGAGAAAGAGAGTCAAAGAAATCTGGATCACTACCCAAGGATACAGCGTTGTGTCAGGTCCAGTAATCTTGGCTGGTGGGTGCACACACAGAAAGTTTTCTGTTGCCTTTTAAATCCATTTTATCAGCTGATTAGCATACTAGACAGAGAGGCAAGTATTCCATGAACTCATTTCCATGAGAGACAGGCCAATGGTGGAGCATGGGTTCTGCACATGTGCTGGGGGGGAATGGGGTACATTAACCGTTTTGTCCAACTGAGTCAGTGGTCATGATCTCCCCCTACCACCTTTACCACTTCCTCAGTTTTTGTTTCTTGGGCAATTATCCAGTCATTAGCTCCATCTGGTGTCGTTTGTTTATCTTTCTTATCAATCTTTTAGCTCTTCTTCAAGGCTATAGTCATAAATTAAAGCATAGGCCTTAACCTGGGTTTGGGTAGATTTGTATTAGTGTCAGTAAAACTATTCTCTGAACCTGTTAAGATTAGCACAGATGAATACCAGAATGCATCTGAGTGTACTAAGCTCTTACAGAAACTTCTTTGGGGGCTGTAAGGAACTGAAGGAAGTAATGCCTCAAATATTCATCAACACAGAAAACCTCAAGGGCAAAGTGTGGCCTTTGTGATTAGTCTAAGAAATGAGTTATCTGCCTAGGAAAGCACAGGGTGTATCAAAGGGTGCATGGTTTTGCTCCCTTGCAGTTGTATAACCAAATTCCTTAGATAAGACTTGAAGGGAGGAGATGTAGACTGAACAAAACCCATCAAAATATCATGTAAACTGTGCCCTGTCAAAGGGTAAGATCAACCATACTTAGTATGACTGCACTAGCACTTCTGACCATCATCCCTTTCATTTGATTCCTTCAAAATGGCTTGAGATAAGCTCTGACTGTTCTCAGTTACTACCTACCAGTAGTGCTTCTTGCATCAGAGTAGAAAGCCAAGAATGATGCGATACAGTGTAAAAGGCATTTTGAAAGACATCTCCTAATAACCTAAACCAGATGATGTTGTAACTAGCCCCCTAAACTGTAAAAGGATAATCAGAAGTTTAGTAACCATCATTTTTATATGCCTTCTAATGGGAGCCAATTCCAGTAATGAATCATCGCCTAACATTTTGTTACAGCATGGGTCATCAGTACAGATCTGGTGAATCATACAGACGTGCCAGCTGCAGACTCCACAAAGCACAGGTGTCCAGTGAAAGACCGTATAAACTTTCTGTCAGAAAGGAGGGGTAATGCAATAACTGACAAACTGACTGGAAAACGGAACAAAAAAAAAAAAGACCAAACACTTAGCAAGTTCTTACTGGATACTACTTTCTACAAGAGAAAGTATTTCTTGTT